AAGTGAGCCGCTGCACTACGGTCCTCAAGGCTCCAGCGGGCACATCCTGGGGCTGCGAGTAAAAGACTTTGACGACCACATTCAAAGTGTTAGCCAAGACGCACCTCAATCATGCAACACCAGTCAGGTCTCCTACGATCAGTTCTTCCAGCCTCCACCGCCTTCAGTCAGCACAGAACGCTGTCCTCCGCACGATCATCGGTTGCTATAAAATTTCGCCAATCGATCATCTTCATACAGAGGCTTCTGTCCTGCCGATCGCTCCCCACAACAGACTCTTAGGTCAGCAGTTCCGGTGGATCTGTTTGCAACCCGGCCATCCTAATCACCACCGTTGCCACGCCCCTGAACTCAGCCACAGTGTTCGGCCGTCTATTAGAGCCCTCCACAAGAAAGCTGTCGCCTCGTCTCTCTCCGATCTACCCATTGATGGCTCTGTCATTATGACAGGCTTCCAGCGTCTTCATCAGAGAGCCGTTGTCGAAGAAAAAACAAGTTACAATCCCCCACCTATCCACCTCCGATTGCGGCTCCAGAACAACAACTCTCGAGGGTCACTCGCTGTACTCTGGCTCAACTACGCAGTGGCTACTGAATTTTCTTTCGCCAATACCAACACCAGCTCGAGCCGTCCACACCCGATTGTTATCCCGACTGTGGCGTTTCTCGGCATGACTGTCAGCATCTATTCACCTGCAGTTCCCGGCCAGGCACCCAACTCATCCCAGCGGACCTTTGGCTCAAACCAGTCGAGGTCTCGGCCTTTCTCCGTCTTCCAACTACTACCAGTCTGGATTCCGGCGGGGACTCTTGATCCAACAATGGGCTACGAAGCACACACAAATTCCTCTGCTCTTCATCGCCCTGTCATGGTGCTTGAGGATCGATTAAAACAAGTGAAGAAAGAGTGCGGTAAACGCATCACAAGTCTACAATGGATATAAAATAATAAAAGCAGAAATTCCCGTCCTTGCATGCACCCCGCTGAGGCATCGTCGGAAAGGAAGTTCGAACTTTTACGACTCAGTCTGAAAACATGCTACCCCAAGCATCGTCATCTCTCCTTAACGGACGCGGGGTGTTATGCCAGAGTCAGTGATTGTAAACATCAGATCTGAAGGAACACGAAGACGCTAACTTATGGGCGACGTTGACTAGCTGGGATCATCAAGAACTGGCGCACTACAAGGTGGACATCGCCGCACTCAGTGAAATCCGCTCTTCCGAACAAGGGCGGCTCAGAAGTCAAAAAAGTACCGTATCCTCACTATCATCGTACTTTCCGCGCGCGAATTCGCCTCGTTGGACATCTTCAGACACAATGCAATGGCACTCTGATGACACCAAGTTATACAACAATGTGCACTCCTATTAACCCTCCTGCTTCCAACACCGCGACAACGGCCACCGCCATCAGCGATACCCGCCGCCATTCTCCCTACC